ATGTATGTATGTATGTGCGTGTGTGTATATATATATATTTATTTATTTATTTCCCTCTCTCTTCCATACCGCACAGAGCCCGCAAAGTTCCAAAGATCGCATACAGACCCGGACATTTGCAGACCAAGAGCCTCATGACTCTTCGGGAACGGTAAGGCTGCGATCCCTAAACCCTAAACCCCGAAGTCGAAACCCTAGGAAGAAATGCGGCTCGTCCTTGCTAAGTAGGAGAGACAAAGAAGTCGAAACCCTATGAGGCAAACTAGCTTAAACCACTAAATGTTAGCCAGCACGTGAGCAAGTGAGCGTGTCGTGGTGGTCTGAAAGTGCTGAGTCTGCGAGGCATCCCAGTGGGTTTGTAGAGGAGCGTTGGCCGTTTGGCCAGCGGACTGAGACGTTAGGGGGGCCGAGTGTGAGTGCTGAAACCTGCTCTCTGAGTTTAAGCTGGTACTATCCTATTGTTTTGTGCTACATGATAAACCAAGTGTTATACTATGTCATACTATACCATATTATATTATACTATGCTTCAACTGCAATTGGCAGAGCACCCAAGCCGCCTTTCCACACCTTCGTGGGTCAGTCACCAATTGGACTACGCCCCGATTGCAGGCTGTGATCAAAGTGATCACATATCCAGAGCTAGGATGGCTGTGACACTTGCAACTTGAAACATGGGAAGACGCGCTTTGCAAATAGTGGTGGGGGGAGGGGGCTTTGTTCTGGGTCAACTGATGCAAATATCGGAGTGCTACGATGTGAATGGAGGGTTGAAGGGATGTGCAACGTGCATGAGCTCCATTAAACCCCTCCTCGTCTGTCTTTAGACTTTCGACTCTAGCCTTTCTCGTGCAGTTGGCCCGCCGTCGGCAGTGCACAGACGCCAGGCGAAGGGTGATCCCATGGAAGAGAAGAGTCTGGTGCCAAGATTTGATTTTTTAGAACATCGGTTTCGTTTTGGAGCCCCTGTTGTTTACGGAGAAGACATTGGGGAAAAGAGAAGCCTCATGATTGACCCGTTGAAGATGGCTTGGGGTTTGGATTCGGCCACAACGGGGCGGGGGAAAGTCGTGTAGGGCACAGGGAACCGCTTGCATTGAACAGGGGAGAGCCTCAGTGTGACCTGAAGCAATTGGCGGGAGACACGGTAGCCTGGGTCAAAACTGAGGTGGGCAAAGCAATCCAATTGTTGATGTCCGTTCCCGCACGCTTGAGGATGGCCCTTGCTGCGGCGGCTCGTGGCAAACGTCCGGCGCTTTACCTGCTGCATTTCAGACCTTCATGGAGCCAATGCTCCATCTTGCTTTGGGTCGCTGAGCTCCTTCGGTAGTTCCCTCCCCTCCCGCGCTCCTCCACGTCCGTCTCTCTGTCTCCACCGATTCGGAGAATGGATGGGGGGGGGGACGAGCAGAAAGATAATATACTATAATATACTATAATATACTAGAATATACTACAATATACTATAAGTAGTTCACGGCCATCGTGCCCACCCTCGGCTCTGAAGTGCGACTTCGCATGATGTGCGGGTGAGGTTGGGGTACGCATCTGGGGTTTAGGTTGGCTTAGTGTTTAGGGTAGGATTTAGGGTTTAGGGTGTAGGGTTTAGGGTTTAGGGCAGCTCCGCAGTCCGTGCTTCAAGAGGCACGGCTGCTTACGGTTTAGGTTCAGGACGTATGGTAACGGCTTCAGGGTTTCAGGTGTTGGGATTCAGGTTTTTGATTGGGTTGCTTCAAGGTCGTCTCTATCATACGAACAAAGCGCCAAAGAATCTGAAACAGGAGCCTATATGCATCTTTAGGTTGAGTACTCTGTTGCCGAGACTCTGATAGAGGCTTCAGTTGGCCCTGCGCAGTGGGATGCGGGCGGTTGGTCGCGCTTCAGGGCTGAGGGCGGGTTGAGAATGTGTGTGTATGTACATGAAGAAATAACTTAAGAGGCAAGTGATGAGGACAGATACGCATATGCATAAGGTTGTGTGTATGTATGTATGCATATATGTATAGCTATTGTTGGTTATAAACAGATATACTTGCAACTGTACAAGAGTAAAGAAGAACGAGAACGAATGTTCGTAACATTGGCTCAGATCACACAGTCCCAAGGTCCCAACATCCTGTCAAAACAGTAAGAGTAAAATGAACCGATAACCATGTTAAGGGTCAAGCAAATGGGTGGGGGGTTTTCACGCACCCTCATTTGAAAGCCGCTGGGTATGGAGAAACAGACGGATGCGATCTCGCCACACTGGGTTTGTCTTCTCATCGCCATTTGGCAGTATGACAAAACGGGCGGATATTCCAGTTTGGACCACGTTGAGGAAGAAGTGAGGGAAGTGCATCGAGCTGTGATTGAATCAAAGCTTTGCCAAGAAGTTCATGGCGTAACTGGGCACGCTACCTTTGAGCAGATCAAAGCGGAAGTAAAGAGTGCCGTGCAACAGCTGGGTCGTGACTCCAAGCTGCTAGTGGTTTACATGGGACACAGCCACTGTGGTGAAGAGGGCTCTACCTGGATAGTCCCATCGTGCGGTCTGAAATGGAACAACTGTGTTCCGCTGGAGTATGAAGTTATGGCAGAGGCGCCCGTCTCTTGACTTTTCGTTGTTGCATGCTAGGAGTAGTCTATAATTTGACCTTGTCACTGCTGCGCTTCAGGTGTGCAGACAGCAGAAGAGCGCGTTTTGCCTCGACGTCTGCTTCTTTTGCTCCAGCTGCCGAACGGGGTGGGAGAAAAGCCGACTGAAAGGCACCCCTGAACATCCACATTTACCTGTGTGGAGCGATAACGACACGGTTCACAGGCTCTTTCCGGCAGTTTTTTTCAGTGCATGCAGCGAACATGGGCTAAGGGTGTACGCGTATGGAGCCTGCCAGGTTCTACCCTTGTCCCGAACGTCATCCCATCATGGACTACCCCTTTCTTGGAGTTGCTTTGGCGAATTTCCTGCGTGCCCGGCCGGAAACCTTCGAAACACTTGTGTCTAAATTGAAAGACGAGATCAAGTACATCTCCTTGGGCGAATTGGACCCGGAGCGCCCCAACGATGCTCCGACGCGAGTGATTCAGTTGTACGCTGGCGGTGCGACAAGCTCCTTGACGACGGAAGCACTCATGACTGACTCGGTGCTTGGCTGCTTCCGCAAGGCCGTCTTGTTGCGGCAGCACCTTGCGGATACAATCAGCGCTGAGATGTCAAACTATGCAGCTACTCGGGAACAGTTGAAGGCAGTGGCATCGCTCGTGAAGAGAGGGCAGGTCGTGCTACCCGACGGTGAGTGGTGGCTTTGTGACATCGACTTGCAGTTGCAGGTTCTAGCGACTGACCAACTGCTTGGCATCAAAGATGTCTTGACCGAGTATGTTGAGGGAAACCGCGCTTTACGACGCAGACCTGTTGCAGAGGAAGTCAAAAGCTGGGGCAAGATTCCCAAGGAATCCCTGCTTAGGTTTGTGAGCGAACTGCGCGCAGTTGCAACCCGGCCGGGATCCGAGAGAGGCAAGCTTGGCGTTGGTGTACAGAAGCTTTTGAAAATCTTGGCCAGCGCCCGCCGTGAGATTTCACCGCCTCCCAGTGCGCGAGGCAGTCGCAACGAGGAAGCTGTGCTGGTGCCCGGCGTGGAAGCTAACAACATGACTCTTCAAGACCGGATAGCCTTCATCGAAGCGTGGGACTCTGTGCGCAAGGAAATGGGTGTCGACGGGATGGATCCCAACTATATCCTTCACGGCAGCCTTTACATCTTCAGCATGACCGGTGCAATGCCCAAGGGCCTGAAAGAGCTATTCTGCCAGAGGCTGCAGGAAAGACTGCGGGAACCTGATCGCCTCAAGGACTTGCCCGTGGAAGCATGGGGCTGCTGTTGCTGGGTGTAGGCTTCATTCGTTGAAGCCAGGCTTGACAAGCTACATGATGCTGCCTCGTCTTCGTCAGGGGGTTGGAGGGACATAGCCGTGAATTACTCAGCTCAGCCTGTCACGTTTGTGCGAGATGGAGTCCCCTTTCTCTGTAGCAGGACCGGTCCTTTGCATTGGCATTTGCGCGGGCACCCGCCTTCCAACTGCCTGCTGACGTACCGGCCCGCTTGACAAACCTCGCCACTCGGCCGCAATCGCATGATTTGCGGTGTCGAAAGGGCGCTGAGTTCCAATCCGTTTGTCCTTTCTTGGACGAGGTCAGCCTTGCCGAAAGATTTCGAGCCGAGTTGGATCCTGCTCCTACATCTTGCTTTCTACATGTGGCTTGGATACACTCCCAGGAACTCCCGCGCCATTTCCTTCAGATTCTCCAAGAAAACAGCGAAATGCATCACAACAATTTCTCGTCGGGCGCTTCTGCGTGGAAGTGTAGTCACAGCATACTTCGCTAGACTTCGGAGCCATCTCTTGTTTTCTGAGAGGTGTATTGCCAGGAAGGGGGAGGCATCATGCACCTGAAGCAGGGTGACAGTCCGCTTGCACACCTGTGTGGCCGAATGTTGCAGTTGTACGGGACTCAGTGCAAGTCACGAAGGTTCTCGGATTCAAGCAATTGGTGGAGCGACTTGTCCAGACAATAGCTGGTTGCTACTTTCCGAGGGTTTCCACGATCAAGTTCGGGCTGAAGAGTAAGCTTTAGACTAGGCTTCTTCAGAGAGAGTCGAATGTTGCCTGAAGCATGCAGCAGAAGGCAGTCTGAGGAAATGGATGGATCAGGCCCACTTGGAGGAGACTGGCGAATCTGGTGACAGGCGGATCCGTCTCATCTACGGCGGAGTGGAGCTTGCTGATCACGAGTGGTTGAGGCCGCAGTCTGCCGCATTTCGCTGTTGACATGTGTGACAGGATTTGAATGCTTGGACAGCTTGCATGCTGCTTCTGAGACGTCCAACGCATTGCGTAAACCAATAAGCTAGTCGCATTGCGAAGGGGCGCCTCCAATTTGCAAATTGTCGTGGAGCCTACGTGGCGATTCTGGGCCCAACACCCGAAGTTTGAGGCTCTGGGTGCAGAGATGACAGGCCGCACTGAAGGGTGGGGGCCGGGAGTATCGCACGATCGGTGCACGTAAATAAGCTGATTCCTTTCACTGTGCTTCAGTGAATCTTATGCCTGTGCACAGTGCGCGGGGGTGGCGTGTGGAAGGACTGATACGTGACCTTTCGACAAAAGTGCTCGATGGACGTTGCTGGGCCGACGATGAAGCCTTCATGGACTTGGTGCTTGCGATGCCGATCTGCATTTATCTGCAGAGTTTGTTTGCGTATATTATATTATAGAAATATAACTATTGTTATTATTGTTGTTGTGATTATTATTATTATTATTATATATGTATCTATATATATATATATATATGTGGGTTGGGATATATATATATATATGTGTGTGTGTGTGTGTCTGTGTTACTTGTGCATTCCACACTGTGGCCTGTGGTTCTCTAATGTTCAGAGACAACAGAACTTGTTAGGGGGCCGCACAGGCGCACACCTGTGCGGTGTGAGCGCATAGGTTGTGCACACCAGATTTACTGTAAAGTCCAACGCAGGCCACCTTTTGGCCTCGGCGCACATGCATGGATGCAAAACAACCTTATACTGAGGTATGTACATGTGTACAGCATATCGCTATGCCATCAGATCATCATACATGCTACCGCTTTTCCTACTCCTGCTCCCTGCCTACTCGTATTGTTGCTACGGCTACGTGACCTCTACGGCATCGGCCGCTGCGATGGCCACGGCTTCGGCAGGAGAGGGGTCAACACAGCAAATTAGGAACAATAAATTAGGAAGGATCAAGGACACATTAGGAAGGATCAACAGCAAATTTACGACTTATGAAGTAAATTGCTGAATTTTAGGCTTGGTGGCTTCCTGTCTGCCTGGCTGCTTGGCCTTTTTCTTCGCGGCTTCCTGGCTTCCCGGCTTGCTGGCTTCTTGGCTTCCTGGCTTCTCCGCTTCGGGGCTTCTGGGCTTCTTGGCTCCTCGGCTTCTCGGCTTCGGGGCTTCTTGGCTTCGTGGCTTCTTGGCTTCCTGCCTTCTTGGCTTCTCGGCTTGTCGGCTTCGTGGGTTCTTGTCTTCCCGGCTTCTTGTTCTCGGCTTCTTGGCTTCGTGGCTGCCCGCCTTGTTGGCATCGTGGCTTCGTGGCTGCCCGCCTTGTTG